GCTCTCGGCGCCGGCCCAGTCGCGCACCGTCACCTCCTCCTTTCTGATCAGGGACATCCTCGCCGACTGCAAGCCCCTGGCGGCCTGCGCGCCCTACTCGAGCTGCGGGCCGCCCGCGGGCCCCGAGCCCGGGGGCCGCCTCTCGGCCAAGGCCGGGGAGGACTTCCGCGAGAAGCTAGACAAAAACGGCAGCACCACGTCTTCGGATTCAGAGTACAAAGGTAAGAAAGCCCGCGACGACCGGGGGCGGGAGGGGGGGCACGGGCGCTTCTCAAAACCCGGGATCCGAAACGCGCGAGCGAACGCGCCCGGCCCTTCCCGCCCGCTCCACGGGCCGGGCCTTCGTGGAGACCCGGGGCCGGGAAGGGGCCCCGCGAGCCGGACGGGCGGCGATTCCACAAGCCCACCAAGCAAACTTTCTCAACTTCCACCTGGCCCGCCGACCCCGCCAGCGGGGCCGGACCGAGCCTCCGCGGGGGCGGAAGCGAGCCCTGGGGCCCGCGGGGAGCTTCCCGTCCTCCCCCCCCCCCCGGGCCGGGGAATTCTGAAGAGGAAAAGCTCACTTCTAGAGAGAAGCCGCGGCCCAGCTACTGGTCGGAGCTCGCTGGGTCCCGAGGTCCGGCGGGGAGGGAAGGCCCCAGGCCGCGCCGCCTCCTCCGTGGGTTTGGTTTTAAGTGCTGGAGCGAGCCCCGAGCCCCAGGTCCCGAGCGGCGGGGCGCGCAGCCCCAGCCCCAGCCCGAGCCCCAGAGCAGGGCGGGCGGCCCCAGCCCCGAGCCCCAGTCCCAGCCCCAGCCCCGAGCCCCAGAGCGGCGGGGCGGGCGGCCCTTGCCCCAGCCGCTCTCTTCACTGCCCCCCCCCATCCCCACATTGGTTTTTGTTATTGTTCCTTTTTGTTCCATTTTAACCGAGGAGCTGGGCTAAGAGGAAAGAAGCAGGAAGGGAGAAAGGAAAAACGGAAAAAGAAAAGGGAAGAGGGAAAGAAAAGGTTCCTTAATTTCGTTTTAGAGCCTTAGCCGCTGTCCTGACTCGGGCTGTCTGTGGACGCAGAGGCAGAAAGTTCTTTGTAGGAGGAAAGCGAGAGGCAGATGCTGAAGGAGACCCCGGCTTCGGAGCTCCTCGACCAGCAGAAAACCGGGGCTGCCCGTAGGCTTTTCTCTATCCAAGTGAAAGCCCTTTGCAGCGGCTCCTTCGTTAGCAGGGCCGCTTGGTCGTGCTTTGCGGGCCTGCCTGTGTCTCCTAGCTTCTATTTGTACCAAATATTGGGGAGGACTCGTTTAACTTGTGCCTCCCAAGCCAACATTCACTTGGTGGCAGATTCTAACTCCAGGGAAGGAAACTATCTGGGGTCCATCCTGTTTTTCTTTATTTCCTCCATGGACCTGGCCAGGCTTGCTCTGGCTGGGCTGGACCTATCCACCATCTCTAAGAAAATGTACAAGTTGAACGACAGCACGCAGGGGGAGGCCATGGCTCAACCAGCACCTGAGTCTAATCACTTTTCTCTCCTAGGGGCCTGCCTACAGAGGCAAAAAAAAAAAAAAACTTGCCTTGGAGAAAGGCAAGGGAGGGGTTAATGTAAATATAATTTACAGCACCACATTGTATTATTTATGGGCTGCGGCGATTACCAGCCCCAGCTTTGTAGCTGAAGCTAGAGGGGCGCCGGGCTCCGGCCAGTGCCACATGAACAGTTCAGCTCTTTTATGTCTTTGCTCCCAAGTAGGATTTTGAGAAGAGGTTCCGTTTCATTTAAGATAATTGGAATATCAATTTCCGTCTCCCGTCCCCGGTGATATCTGATCAGGGAGGTGACGAGGACTGGCTGTCCCCATGTCCTTTAAATAGAATTGCAGGAGCCCTGGAGGTGGAGGGTCTCCTCCACAGGCCTTCACACCCGGAAAAGTCTGGGAGTGAGAAAAAGTCTGGAAGTCCTGTCCAGGCTGGGCCCGGAGCGGTTCTCCATCACGGAGGTGACTTTGTCAGAGTCTAAGTTGGGAAAGTCTGTTTGAGAGACTGTGCCGGGGATGACAGCCGGCCAACTGCTGGTGGGGACATTTATTGGGGAGCAGGCCAATCTCACCCCCAGTGCCTGTACGAAAGGCTCTTCATAGGCAATAGTGAAGGAAGCTGACACCTGTCCCCCAAGGTGCTAGAAGAAACTAAAACAACGCTGCCTGACTGTTGTGGGCCAGTCGGGGCTCGGACCCGGCCGCCGCCGCTGCCGCCCGGCGGCTTGGGGACCAGATTCTGGGAAGTGGAGGTCGCAGGGCTGAGCCGGGCTGGGGGCGATCGGGGAGTGGGGAGGGGGCCCTCCAGGCCCCGGCCCGCAGCTCTGGGGGACCTGGAGTTCCACAGCCTCAGCGGCCGACCCGTTCTCTCCAAAGGGGGAATCTCCTCGGTCATCGGGAAACGGTCAGAAAGTGAAAGTTCTGCACGGTGGAGTCTGAGGCTTGGAGAACGGTTTCCCCAAACCTGTTCGCACTTTCCAGGCGGGCGGGACACCGGACGAGGCTGGAACACGGCTGCGTCTGCGGAGGGATGGGGGGTCCCCGGGAGGCCCGCGCCGCCGCCTCTCCCGCAGGCCCGGCGCCCTCTGGCCGGGAAGGGCGGCCGTTCCGGCCGGAAAGCCCGGCTCCCTCGTGGCTCAATTAACCGGATTATTGTTTCCCACAGAGAGAGGTGGCCTCGCGCTCAGCTGCACGTGGTGACACTCGCCGTGGAAGGGGTGCGGGCGGGGCTCGGCCCCTTCCGTCGGTTTGGGTTTAGGGAGGAAGAGGAGGAGGAGGAGAGCCGCGGTGAACTCGCTCCACGCAGCTCGTGTTTTCTATACGAGCGAAAGCGGGAGGAAGAAAACCTCCCGGTGGGCCCAGCCCGGGCCTCGGGGGCCGGGTCGAGGCCGTGGGGTCCGGGTCGGG